GGAGAGTGGCGTTTGAGGTCAGAAACCATGCTTTCATGGAGGCAAGAGCATCCCTAGTGTATTGAGTGATGGTGGGACCATGGCAGATGAGATAACAGAAGTCTCTCATTTTACAACCAAGACAGAATGTGTAATTTTCTGTTTTAGGTGAAGATTCAGAAAGTGATCCTGATTTTGATGAAAGTGAAGAAAGTGATGAAGACTTTGGTGTGAGGAGAAGTAAAGAAACAAAGAAGAAAACAGTGCAGAAGAAACCAGCAGCGAAAAAGAAGGAAAAGAAATCAAAGCCCAAATGTGAGGCATCAGGTGCGCCTGCTCCCTAACCCGCCATTTTATAGGGTCGGGTTTGTTGGGTTTCCAGATCTTTTGTCTGTGCCCTCTAACATTTTGCGAATGCGCACCTCTAGTTAAAAGGAACTGTGGGTAGGGAGAGAAGCTAAGACTGCTGAGCCCTGGTAGCCATAGAAACACTGAGTGTGGACCTTCCACCCCGTTAGCCAACACCCTGCACCTGCATCTTACCATCAGAACACCCACCTTCACCTCGTCTCACGCTATGCTGGGATGTGTACACGTCAGGGAGGCCCAGAGCTTAATCCCAGCCCATTTAGGGGCTGGACCATGCTGTCTGGATGTTTAAACGGTGAGACCTGGGTGAGCTTACGTCCTCGCTTTCCTTCATGACCTAATCTCTGTTTTGAGGACCCAGTTGCAACATACTTAGTGTCAGTGTTACAGTGAGAATTTGTGACAACTTGGACATGGGACACCTGTTTCTTGTGTTCAAATGGTAGACTGGTTTTGTACCTGTGTTATATAATAGATTATCATAAAATGCAACTTTTATTAACAAAATGTTTTATTTATTTATAACCATTTTTGGCCTTACTTTCTTAATCCTCCTGCCTCAGTCTTATAGCAGGTGTCTTATCAACATGACCCAGAAAAAAGTTTTTAACGTGGAGGTCACTCCTGAGAAAATAGATCTGTGAACAGCCAGACTCATTTCCATGGCCTGAGAGAAATGGCAGTGCCCTGATTGTCCTCCTCCCCTTCCTCACCCTTCACATCCCTGCTCCATCCAGTCAAAGAGGACAGGAGCTTGTCCTCTGGCATCACATGGTCTCCTCTCTGTGCCAAGAAAACCTCCACTCATTTTCCCCTCAGCCAGGATGATCTCCCCCGTCTACACCTCCTAACCATTCAGGAGATTCCAAGGCCCCTTCCTACTGTGCATCCTGAATCTCAGCACATTGCAGTAGACACACACACATTTTCACTTGGCTCTTCTCCCACTGAAGAGAAGTACAGGCCAGTTAGTTTTGGAGAACAAGATGCCCACATCATTTGCTCTTTATAACCCTAGGGTCCTCTACAGGAGTGTCCCTGACACTTACAGAAGAGGCATTATCTGTAAAATGACTACAAGTATAACCTTAGAAGTCAAACCTGGTTTCTAATCTGGGATCCAACAGTAGCTGTCAGACTACAGGGAAATTGCTTCACCTCTGCTCTCTTATTGTTTTAGACGTGAACATTATCTTCCTGTATGACAGTTGTTTTTATGTGTTTCAAATCAGTGACTTCAGTAGACCCAGCTCCAGCTGTCATCATGTCAGGATCTCCATCCTTACCCCAAGCAGTTGGTCTTCCTTCTGAGGCCAATAGGAAACCAGCAAAAATGTGCAGCCCTTCAGCTGAAAGCAAGAGGCCCAAGTGGGTCCCTCCAGGTATGGTAACTTGCTATCAAGGCCACCAGCTTAGGAAGCTGCCATTGGTACCTCTTTCCTAGTCACAGGAGTTTTGTGTGAGCAGGTCCTATGTTATTTCAGATTCTTCCAAAGTAGTGTGTTAGTGCTGCTGTTTATCATCTTGCCATTTCCTTATCAGGCATCAAGGTTGTGTATGATTTGTTCTCATTGCTATAAATAAACTTCAGTAAATGGAGACATTCTTACTTTAAAAATCTGTGGACACAGCCCTATCACAGAGTCAGTATTGACAAGTGGTGTTTGTTTGTTTGTTTCTGGCAACAAAGTTTGGCCCTAAGACCTGCTGACCTCAGTGTAACAGAGCACGCAGGCCCAGGCTCTCCTTAGCACTGAAACATGTAACACAAATGTCTTGGCAAGCTTGTCTTTGACTTTATACGTGTATTTTGCTCCACAGCCAGAAAAGTTGGAGACTTTGAAGGTGTTGGAGTTGGGGCTTTCAGATTAGGATCTTTGCCTGCCTGTGCTTTTCCTAATTGTCAGTATGGGTCTTTCTTCTGAGCAGTTGCAGCTCGTGATGAGCTCTGTAGAGCCGGACCTAACCATTTGTTTGCCTTTGTGTTCTGCAGCTGCCTCTGGGAGCAGAAACTCTAGCAGCAGTGCATTGGCAGAAACTCCAGCCAAGTCCCCCAGTCAGAGCCTGCGTCTGGGCCTCTCCCGATTGGCACCGGTTAAGCCTTTGCATCCAAGTGCCACAAGCAGCCAAGTATGGTAGCAGGAAAGGACCACTGGGACCCTTGGGACTGCGAAGTGGGTTGTCATATTCAGCTTCCATGTAAAAGAACCTTTAATGAGTCACATGAAGGATCTCTGTGTGATTCTGGTCTCATCAAAGCCTTTCTGTCCTTCAGCAAAGGGTTCTGGGGCCTCTACTTTTGCCACTCCTGGAAAGTGTATTGTGTTTTCTTACATTTCATAAGTCACTGTCACTCAGGCTCTGCGGCACATCTCCCATGTGCCTAATCACATGTCTCCCAGCTCTGCCTGGTAAGGGGGCATCCTGGGTTCCTTCAGGAGGCATTTCTGAAGTCTTTCCCATTCTACATTTCTTTAGGTTTATTAAAAGCTTGCTCTCTTTATCCAGGTCTTTTTTAGTAAGAATTCTGCTTTTGTACGTATTAAAATGTTGACTGTACTGCAGCATGTGACCCTACATGAGGACAGATGGTTAGTGTACAGCAGATAGAATTTCAAAACACTGTATGAACTTCTCATTGTCAGAACCTTTAATAAACATGAAGAGATTTAAAATGTGTTCATTGATACCATGTGTCTACCTGTGTGTCTACATTTTGCTGAAATGAGCCTTCTGTGGTCAACATAAGCAAGGGGAAGCAGTGTCTTCATCACTTTAGATGAAGCCCAAGGTTGAAAGACTGTCACCTCAGCACCCCTGTTATTAGCTAATGCAGCTTCTCAAGAAGCTTAGATTTCTTGTCAATGAAAGTATTATTTTTATGATGAGAATATCAACCTGTTTCTGATCACTTACTAATAAAAAATGTAATGTTTATAAAATGTGCAATGCCTCGCCTGTTTCTCAGCTGAGACGTGTTACCATGAGAACAAGCAGTTTTAAGCTTCTTACTTGTATATATGCATACACTGTCATTCTCCGCCGTCCATAAAACCCCAATCTTGAGTTAGCATTCTGTGTGAATTTGGTTCTCATTTTTGAGTCAGGACTTCCTATATAGCCCAGGCTGTCCTTGAATGCAAGATCCTTCTGCCACAGCCTCCCTAGTGGTGGTGGGTGCTGCCACACCCACCTAGTTACCTGGTTTTGGGTTAATTTATATGCTTTGAACAGTAACCATTGTTACTGATATTAAATACTCACTGGAAGCCGGGCGGTGGTGGCGCACGCCTTTAATCCCAGCACTTGGGAGGCAGAGGCAGGTGGATTTCTGAGTTCGAGGCCAGCCTGGTCTACAGAGTGAGTTCCAGGACAGCCAGGGCTACACCGAGAAACCCTGTCTCAAAAAACCAAAGGAAAAAAAAAAAAAAAACAAATACTCACTGGAGGGACTTGGTTTTTCTTCTGATTCACATTATTTCTTTGTATTTAAAAGTTCCCTCAGAGGTTGGAGAGATGGCTCAGTGCTTAAAGGCACTTGGTGCTCTTGCAGAGGACTCAGACTTGTTTTCCAGTACCCATATCAGGTGGCTTAAAACTGCCTGTATCTCCAATTCAGGATATCTAACAACCTCTTCTGGACTCCGTGGGCACCTGCATTCCACTGGTGCATAGACACACATAATGCATACTCAGACACACTGAATGAAAATTTGCCTCAAAGTGTGTTAAAACTGGCTTAGCTACAAGCGTCAATAACCATCAGTTGCTAGGCATGGTCTTACCTACCCCAGTTATCATACTCTGAGAACAGTTTATTCCTTGGCCCACACACCTGCTCACTGTAGCTCTTTGGTGTTATACACATTCGCCACCACATCAGTCTGTGCTTTAGTCTTATCAGTGGTTCTGATGGACTGGTGCCCTTGCCTCTACTCTTTACCCCCTTGCATATCCATCCATGAAGTTACCGACAGTGCATTCCCAAAATAAAAGCATGAACAGGCAGACTAAGGTGGCACACACTTCTAATCCTAGCAGAGGACGATGCTTCTCTACTAGTTCAAGGCCAGCTTGGTCTACATAGTTCCAAGCCAACCAGGACTACCCAGTGAAACTTGTAAGCCTTCTGCTTACAGCCCACACAAACACTGCAGTCTGTCCTTCACAAGCTGCTTCCGGTACTCACTTGGCTAAACTGCTAAGGACTTGAACACTAAACTGCTTCTTTTCAGTAAATCCCTTCCTTGTATCAGAGCCCTTCATGACAAACCACTGTCACTTATAATTCCATGTGGTTCTTTCTGAAACAGTACAGAGTAAAAGCTCACGAAGTGTACATATAAGGAAATTCTATCCTTTTATCTACTTCCACATACTGGAAGTTTTTGATAGGTCTTGGAAATTTTCCAGTCTGGCCTGTCCAGCCAACTTTAATTTCAGAGTCCTGGAATTTCACTCATACCTTGGTGGATCCATGAACTGAAGAGAGAAAATGAGGAGGTTGGGGGAGATGTATTCTTTTGGCCTATGTGAAAGATGGTTTGAGTCTTGACAGGGGAAAGCCTATTCAGCTCAGAGTCACAAAAAGGGTTTGAGCGGTTTCTACAGCAACGCGAGGAGGGTGTGGCCCCTCTGCGCCTAGCTGAGGGTTCCTCCTTAACCTCGGCGACGATCCCTGTCTGTGACAGCCGGATGCAGCTCCTCCCACTTCCTGCCCTCACCGGGACAGAGTAAGCGCCTAAGAGAAGAGGCTTGCGATGGGCGCAAACCCTGAGCCAACTGGGGCTGGGTCCTCAAGGGGCAAGTGGAAAGGGAGAAGGGAAGTAAGAGCGAGGGCTGGGCTGGGTGCGCGAAGGAAAAGAGGTTTAGGTATGCCAGCTGCCGCTCATGAGCATCCTGACTCTCCTACTAATGGAACGCTGTGTTAGGACTCCCGCTGAATGCCGGGAAGTGGGGGCGGGAGGTGGTCTTGACTCCAACATGAAACTGATTCTTTTTCACAGTCACTGCACATGGTATCATTGTCTCACACACACGTACACACAGACACATAACACACACACACACAGACACACACACCTTTGACACAGAGCATACCAAGGGTGGTGTGGGTCACGAGCCCAGATCACCTTTCCTCGCTTGCTTGCTTGCACTGCAGGGAAATACTTAGCATCATTGCTTCTTTTTAAGTGGTGACTCCACACTCTGAGCAGTCACTGTCTGAAATACTCAGGCCAGGTGGGGCTTAGGAAACATTGTTCTTTCAGATATGTTTTTAAAAATCACCAGCTTCCCCAGACTTAATTCACATTTTGGATGGAAGATTCAAAACTGGGAAAATCTCATGAGCATGTCCTTTGTTTTGCCTGAGGCGTGAGATAGAGGTGGTGGAATTCTAAGGAATCATGGCCTAGTCCTGTAAGCTCTGAGTCAGTCTAGAGACTGTTAAATTTGAGGCCAGCCTGGTCAACATTACAACATAGCAAATGTTGGGCCAGCTTGGGCTACAGAGTAAGATTCTGGGCCAAGCCTTACTGGTTCTGGGATTTAACCCTTCAGTACCCAGGAGAAGAGGGGAAGTGGGTACAGGATTCCCAAACCTTACAATTTAGTTACTGGACCATGAAGGATTCATGAACTCCTATAGAAGGGCTCAGGAGTTGAATTTGCTTTGTCACTTAAGTACATTAAGTACATGAAGGCGCATCTGGCAGTATGCCAACCACTCCTCTGACTTTGCCCTCTCCAACTCCAAATTGTCTACACCTGAGGTAACGTGGAGGGTCCTGAGGCAGTGACTTATGGTTTTAGTTGACTCTAGAACCCATCTAAATAGGAGAAAAGGCTAGTGTAGGCTATCTTCATCAAGCCACCAGGACCATCAGGGATGCAGCAAACACACTGCCTGACCTAGGATGACAAGAACACTATATACTCCTGGGAACAGTAGCTACTTTAGGGGAGATCGATGACAATGGAGAGAATAGAGTAAAGTAAGGACAGCTCAGTATCAACCCTCCATGTCTGTGGGATGGATGCTCTATCATGGAAGGAAAAGTCTGGGCAAAACCCCACAGAGTGCCTGGGATGAAGTAGGCACAGGAGAGAAAACCAAGTTTTTCAATGTTCTGAAAACTCAAGAATTCTTGAACAGAAAGGAGACTAGATCTGTTCTTGTGCTTTTCTGAAGATAGCAAAGAACAGTGGGAAGAATATCTTGTGTAATATCATTACCCTCCCAACAAATATTTGACAAGCACCAACCAAATGTAAACTAGCATCTGAGTATGGAGTGGGCTGTTGGGGAAAACCTTCACTGTCTCAGAAACACTCCAGCACTGATAGGTAAGTATCAGGGAGGCCAAAAACCCCTGCGCTAGGTTGGGGCGTGGGTACAGGATTCCCAAACCTTACAATTTAGTTACTGGACCATGAAGGATTCAGGAACTCCTATAGAAGGACTCAGGAGTTGAATTTGCTTTGTCACTTAAGTACATTAACAGGTTAACTCTAAATGCTATCACCACATCTGTCCCAAGGACAACCCCAAGGACATAAGGATCAAGTCACTGTCGACTGCAGTAAAAATAACGAAGTCGCAACAGGAAACCTCAAGAGACATAGTTTCCTTTTGGACACGAGTGTCCTTTAGGCACAAATGCACGCATTTAAAATGCCACACAACACAATTTCACTAACAGTAATGCTGACACCTCCGTGGCTCCCAGATTCCAAACTTCTTGAGAACAAGGAGTCCACTTCCCTATTTTTCGTCTTTCATACTGAGCACAGTTGTCAGGCTTGCCCTAAGATCTTTGATGAATTCATCTAAACTCTCTCAGCTTTCTCCTCTTCCAGCCAATGTACACAGAGTTTTCATTAGAGACACATCACCGTGCTCAACCTTATGAGGAACTGAAAACAATAAAAAGCACTCATCACCCATAATTCCAAGAGACTCGGGATCAAGATGAGACAAAAACTTAAGCAGCTTTCTGGGACAACTAAGTGACACTAAAGTTGTGACAAAGTGAGTTCACCTTGGAAAGTGCTAAATCCAGGAGGAAAGAGTGACTTGGGAGGGCAGGAAAGAGAGGGCTCTGTACATAAATGGGTGCAAATCTACATTTTAGACTCACTTATCAAATGCTCATTCCTGCAGCTCTAAGTTTTTTGTCTTCAATCATTCCTGTAATAAAATGTAATTTTCAAAGTAATTTTAATTTTTAAAAGGTAATTGATTTTAACTAATTAAAATTAAGTAATTTTATTTTAAAAACATAACTTATTAGGTCATTTTGGATTCATTTCGTATGGAGCTCGATGCAGCTTTTGTGCTTCAGTAGACCCCAAGAGCTTGTAATGTGCTCTCCCACTGAGCTACACACCCCTAGCCCTCCCAACATAGTCTAAAGACTGAAAAGCATTTGCAATGTTCTGAGTTACAATTAAAAGCCAGATAATTCGTAAAGGGAAACACAAGAATCTGTATCACAGACAAGCTATGAATAACTCACAGCACAGTGTGTGTGTGTGTGTGTGTGTGTGTCTTTTCCACCTGACCATGTTTTGTAGGGTTAGAATTAAAATTACTAGAAGGGCCTTGAGAGTTCATCTGGTCCAGGCTCATCATCTTCCACACGAGGGACCGGAGTACAGAAAAGATCAAATGGCTCACAGGAGTCCTGGCAGCATGCACATGAGGCTGCAAAGTCTTTCAGCATCATCTGCAGGCCTTGATCTGACTCTTTACCTTCAGCTGCCAGAGAGGGAACAGAGGAAAGAATCCCAACTGTATGTACTTTACAGCACCCACTTTCTTTGTGAAGTAGTCAAAGGAGGATGTGGTACAGAGCCCTGACAGGAGAAACTTTCTTAATTTCTCCCCAGTGTTGGGAGCTGACCAGTGCTCTCTATCCAGTTGAAGGCCATCTCTCAATTTATTTCCTAGTCCAAATACCCCCATCCCTGCCTTGACTGAGTCCCTCTCTATCTGCCAATAAGTTCATAGAATGGCTTCCAAACCAAGTCCCTCAAAGCTGTGCTGTGATCACAGCATTGCCATGAGATGGCCCTAAAACACAAAAGACTACACAGGCCACAGACTAGCCTGGGCTATGTGACCCTTTACACACACACACACACACACACACACACACACACACACACACACACCATATATATATATCATCTCAGGGCTACTTGTAATTCCTGGACAAGCCAGCAAATGCCCCTTCATACTTTCTTCTCTGTACCTTGCCCATCTGCCCTTGACTCTGACCTCTATGCTCATTCTTCCAGGATGTTCTACTGTGTTCTTCTGGAAGGCTGCCTCAGCTTTCCCAGCTGGACCTCTCGCCACCAAGAGAGTGGACAATGCATTCTGCATATACTCCTGACATTATTTATTCCCGGTCTCCTCTCCTGCACCATGAGTTTGCCTTAGGGACAGAGATTTGACTAGGTCATCAGAACTCTCTCAGCAAATGATTCTACACAATATAGAATGGGGAAAACTAATCAGAGAAGTAAATTATTTTTGTGATTTTCACATGTATTATTATTACTATTATCATTATTGCGTGTGCACTCTGTCACTGTCTGTCTGTCTGTCTGTCTGTCTGTCTGTCTCTCTCTCTCTCTCTCTCTCTCTCTCTCTGTGTGTGTGTGTGTGTGTGTGTGTGTGTGTATTCTGTAGCTAGAAACAGTGGCATGATCCTGTTGTCCCAGCTGCTTGAGAGACTGAAAAGAATGATTAGAGTCTGAGTGACATAATGAGACCCCTAACATTTGTTTTTCTGGAAGAGGGTACCACTATGTAGTCAAGGCCCGCCTCAAACTTGACATCTTCCTACCCTAGCCTCTCAAGTGTTGGGCTAACAAGCATGCCATGCTCAGCAAAGCTGGCATACCTTTAAAGAAATTCTTCTCGCTTCTCTATCTCTACCCCTTGGAGGGAGGTTTTTGCTTTTGTTCGATTGGTTTGGTTTGTTAATTCTCTGTTCTGCTTGTTTCACTCTGCTTGCCGTGGGCAGAGGAAAGCCAACCTCGTTTTAAACTATCATGTTTCAGAAAGCATACGTGTCATACGTGTTTTTAACTTCCCACTTGGTAGAGTGAAAATAAGAGCTTGTTTTTAAATATTTAATTCCTCAATAAATGTGTCTTCACATTGATTACCTGACTTGGCTCTAATTTTGTGAATAACTGAAAAGTCATAGTGCTATCATTGCTGATTGGTTATAATGTCTGCAAAAGCTAAAAACTATAATAATGACTTTACACAGAACCCCATACCAGCCCCATTTCATGTGTTTTTCAAGTTCTATTTGTTCTGGACAGAGCTGGAGGCTGCAGAGGGACTTCATGGGACAAAGCAGAATTTCAACAGTAATCTACAACTGACAAGAATTAAAAATGTTCTGAGAGTCCCCTAAGACTTGCCTTCCATGACTCTGTTTAGATTCCATAACCATAACAAGGTTTTTTCTTATCTTGCAATAAGTTAATTATTCACCAAATTGTGCTCTGAATAAGGAAGGCACAAAAATGATAACAGGATATCAGTGCTAGCTCTTTCTTTCTGTCAGACATGAAATCAGTAGCAGCCTACTCTGTGTATGACAAATCCATACTGTGTGTAAGAGAATGAGGCTGGTTTTGCAGGCAGCTGGGGAAATGGACTCCAGGGTGTCTGTTGTAACTGTAGCCACCTAACTTTACCCTCCCGCTCCTTGGCTCCTTGGCTCCTGCCTCTCCCTCTGTAGTCCTGTCTTTCCAGAACCCAAGAAGGGATTTGAGAGAAGCAGAACCTGCCCCTGATGTAGGCTGGCCCCTGCTTTTCTCTAAGCTCCTTTGCTTTCATTTATTCCCAAGTATCTTGGCCTTTATTTGAATTTTATTCATGTTGCCACCTTGTTATTGCATTACCACCACCACCACCACCACCATCACCATCATCATCATCACCAGCAGACCACCTCTACCACCACCTTTGAGACAGGGTCTTATTATGTAGCCTTGAACTTGCACTCATCTTTCTTCAGATTTAGTGCTGGTATTATAGGCATATACCTCCATGCCCAGAGTCAACTTTATTTTTTGCCCTCTTTCTCTTCCTCTTGCAGGACTTCAATGGATACGAACAAGGGAAGGAAACGCAGTTTGACGACCTTCCCAATTTTGAAAGCAAGGAAGAAGCAGAGTTTCACCTCTGTGAAGGTAAGCATCATCAGGTCCCAAATGAGGAGCAGAGGTGTCTCCAGGAAGATGTGGAGAGCCCTGGTCCCAGGGCGAGTCTCCCCCCCAAGCACCTCAAGGATAGTACTGAGGGGAAGGTATGGGGCATCCAGATGACGTGCCCACACTAAAAGCAGGTCTTACCAGTGAAAGCTCCCTGGAAACATTCTCCCAGGCTTATGCAGAGATTTGTCTCCTGGGTGGTCCTGAATCCCATCATGGTGACAGTCAGGATTACCCATCATGGTGGACTCAACAGGCAAGCAGCCAGGCTTGAGAGGCCTCCATTAAGCAGGTGACTAGCATTGGAGGAGCTGCAGGACAAAGGACTAATCCACAGTTACCAAGTCTCTGTTCTGTCTACCTGAGATTGCCTCAGAACATTCCATTGCCATTCACAATAAATGTTCAAGATCATTTCCAGAAAATACGCTCTTTTTCCTGACAAAGATATAACTGCTTGTTTATTTCTCAACCGCAAAACCTAATGAAAGCCACAGCACAGAAGTTAGGCCAGGGCGTAGTAACCATGTTTACCATCTATGAACCAAGTAAAGGGGAGAATTTTTTTTCTATCTAGTACCACTTAGGCTGTTCAAAATATTCCACTGTCTAGGATCTTTTCAAAGAATGTTTTGCAGAAAACTTTGGCCCAAATCATTCAGTGCATGTGAACATATTCCATATACATCTAGTCAAAATAAAAATGAATCCCTAAAAAAAACTACTTAAACTGTGATATTAAAAAAAATCGTCAGATGTCGTCAGATGTGGTGGTTAGAGATGGCTCAACAATTAAGAGCACTGGCTGCTCTTCCAGAATGCCTGGGTTAGATTCCTAGCATATACATAGCAGCTCATACAGTCTGTAATTTGAATTCCAGGGACTCCAACCCCTCTTCCATGGGTGGGGCATGCATGTGGTGCACAGACATACATGCAGGCAAAACACCCATATATGTTAAAATAAAAAATATTAAAAAACAAGTTAAAAATACTTGATTGGATTGAGAGAGTATTTTTAAAAATTGACTGGGCTTGTTGGCACATGCCTGTGATCTCAGCACTCAGGGTGAAGGCAGAGGGGCCTGCCTACGAGGACAACAGAGGCACAGGGCTTTGTCAGGCTGCTGCTTTTTTTAAGTCCCTTAATCCAGTCCATTACTGTCACTTCCTTGGGCCTTCCCTCCCATCCATGTTTGCTTGTGTCCAGTCTATCCCATGCTTTAAAAATGGGACCGCCCAATATGGCACCACTGGCCATTTGAGGCTGTGGAGCTCTTGCCCTGGCTAATCCACATGGAGATGTGAAATCCATTGTTGGTCTCAAAGACCTGGTCTCCCCTCAAATAGGAGCAGAGAATATCTTTAAAATTAGGTAAATTTTATAGCATATTAGTGAATGCATCAAGAAAAGCCATAAGTAAGCCGGGCGGTGGTGGCGCACGCCTTTAATCCCAGCACTTGGGAGGCAGAGACAGGCGGATTTCTGAGTTCGAGGCCAGCCTGGTCTACAGAGTGAGTTCCAGGACAGCCAGGACTATACAGAGAAACCCTGTCTTGAAAAAAAAACAAACAAAACAAAACAACAAAAAAGAAAAGCCATGAGAGAATTTTATGTTGATTCATTTAAAATAATGGCATTTCTCTTTACTTCTGCCAATGTGTCTATTTAAAAATTACTGCACTCATTTGCTCCACCTGCTTCTCACGGGACGCTTGGCAGGCAGCACAGGCTTCCTGTGTCTGACTGATCCAGTGTTCGATTGTAGAAGCTAGACGTTCCCTGGTACAGACTGCCACTTAGAGTATATTTGCTCACCCATGTCCTCTACAATTATTTACTGACTATTCATTTCCAACACCGTTCTAAGGGTTGAATATATTTTTAAAAGGTGCATGTTCTGGTTTGTGCTTACAATCCCAGCACTCTGGAGGCTGGGTTAGGAGGACAGCCTCCATTTTGAGGCCAGCCTGGACTACATGGTAGGTTCAAGGCCATCATAGGCTACAGAATAAGACACCCTTAAGAACAAAGAAACGGCAAAACAGACCAGTAAGCTCTTATGATTTTTAATCTCAAGACTCTTCAGATGAAGACCAGAGGTCTGGCCTAAGTTAAATGCTGAGCATGGTAGAGAAGACTCGGGGAGTGGATAGACCTGAGTGTCACACGACAAAGCTAGACCCATCTGACAAACTGGACCTCAGTTTTGTACTCTACAGTTTTGACTGGCATCCCCAACAGTTGCAGTAGCAAAGGTTTGGATTGCTGTTTTTCATCAGGCTTTTTGGATGTGAGGTGCTGATGAGACAGAATGGACCATACAGTTAACTTTGGCTGCACGCCTAGACCTGTCTGAGGAAGTTTTCTAGACCACTGAAGTCTCTCAGAGTCACAGATGCTTTGCAAAAAAAAAAAAAAAAAAATCAAAAAAAAACAGGTTCTTCTTGGGGCTGGGGAGATGGTTTGGCAACTAAGGGGATTGAATGCTGAATGTTTTTTTCTGAGGACCCAAGTTTAATCTACCTGTAATCCTCCAAGGCATCTGGCACCTCTGTCCTCTTCCAGTGCATTCATACAGTGCACATGTGCACACACACACACCACGACCACCATCATCATCATCAAAAACTAAAATAGAAATTTAGATAAAGATAAAAAGCTCTGGGGCCAAAGAGATGGCTCAGTGGCTGATCTTCCAAACGACCTGGTTCAATTCCCAGCACCCACACGGCAGCCCATTCCTGCTTGTAATTGCAGTTCCAAGGGATCCAACACCATCGCACAGACATATATTCAGGCAAAACACCAATGCACATAAAATAAGAATAAATTATTTAAAAAAGTTAAATTAAAAATTAAAAAAGTTCACATCTATTAGGTAGACGAAAATATCCATTTACATGCCAGGCATGGTGGCTCACACCTGTAATTCTAACGCTTGGTAGTTGAAAACAGGAGGATCAGAAATTCAAGGTCATCCTCAGCTATAGAGAGAATTTGAAGCCAGCCTGGGATGCATGAAACCCTGTCTCAAAACAGTAAGTGGGGCTGGGGAGATGACTCAGAGGTTAAGAGCACTGACTGCTCTTCCAGAGGTCCTGAGTTCAATTCCCAGTAACCACATGGTGGTTCACAACCATCTGTTAACGGGATCCGATGCTCTCTTCATTGAAGACAGCAACAGTGTACTCACATACATTAAATAAATAAATACTATAAAATAAATATATAAATGTATATAACCTGTGAGATGAACGTGTTAATTGTTTCCTTTGACATGGACAGACAGTATTATTTTAGGCAGGAATCTAAATCTTAGGCTAGAAAAAAGAAGTAATTTCAGGCAGGAATCTAAATTTTAGGCTAGAACAAGGAAGTAGGCTTCAGACATGAAGATGACTTTGTGCTAGGACAGGGAAGTAGGCTCAGATATTCTGGTCATTCTGATAAGCCCTTAGAAACAGTGATTGTGGGAGTGTTCATGGAACTTTGTTTATTGCCTTGCTTGTTCTTTGACTATTTGTGTTTATTGTCTTGCTTGTTCCTTGACTATTTGCATCTATTGTATTTCTAGTTCCTCAGCCTAGAACTGACTTTAGTACTTGCATGCAATTAGAATGGTATAAAAGCAATAAGGAAGAGAGAGGATGGGATAGGGGTTTCTAGGGAGGGGAAATGGGGAAAAGGGATGGCATCTGAAATGTAAATAAATAAAATATCCAATAAAAAAAAGAGAATGGGCCGGGCAGTGGTGGTGCACGCCTTTAATCCCAGCACTTGGGAGGCAGAGGCAGGCGGATTTCTGAGTTCGAGGCCAGCCTGGTCTACAGAGTGAGTTCCAGGACAGCCAGGGCTACACAGAGAAACCATGTCTCAAAAAACCAAAAAAAAAAAAAAAAAAAAGAAAGAAAGAATGTCCCAAAGGAGAATTGAGAACACACTTTTCCATAAGTTGAAACTTGTGTCAAATTTGAATAGAAAATATATAGTATCTGGGTTTTGATAGAACAGATAACCCTAGCAAGAACTGGTAGGCTTGAATTGTCATTAGAGTTTTATTCTTTATTCTAGAATTAGGTTAATCAATAAAAATAAAAAGGTTAAAGTATACCATTAAAAAAAATAAAAGAGTAGTATGAATTAGTTTATGAGGTATTGGTGAGAGCATGAAATCTCTGGCTGGAAGATCCTGGACATACGTGCCCGACACCCTCCCTCTCTGTTCAACAGAGAGCAGTTTCTTGTGAGAGACAGGAACTGAATCTCACACAGTAGAAGGAAGTACCCTAGACTGTCCATTTTTATCTCATATCTGTCTGTGTCTCATCACCATTCCACACCTAAAAAGTCCAAGGGAAAAAGTACCGAACCAACCACCTGCTGCTGCAAAGGGTTGGAAATCCCAGTCAAAACTAAATGGAGCACAGAGCCAAGATCTCTCCTGTCAGTTGGTTCTAGCTTGGTTGCATGGCACAGTTGTAGCTAGGTTATCCATACATAGTTTAAATGCAAATGAAAGATTCAGGGGAAGAACTTGTCATGGTCACAGAACATTTAAATAAAGGCATCCACTAGAGTGTCTAGGTGGTGAAAGCGAGTCTTGGTCCGGTATCTACTGATACCTCTGTGGAGACTTAGCATCCTGAAGGAGAACACTTACATTTTTTCCTCCCACTCTCCATAGGGCCCCACTCTTCCTCCTGAGATCTACATGGTGAGTATCAGTTCCTCCTTCCTCTGCCTTCACTTCCACAGCCTCCCCACTTTGGAGAGAGGAGAACGAAGGTTCGAGACGACCATCAGTCAGTTGCTATGAAAGGGTTGTTAATACAAGCTGTCGTAAGAAGCACCTCTTTGAGTGCTGGGATTCAGCAGAGTGAGAAAACATCCCCTCTAGGTTGTGAAACATCATGTTCAACAGGGAGGATAATGAGACATTAGAAAGGCAATGTGGTTTTGGCTTCACTTATTTTCTCTTTACATCTGTGTTGAGATAATCTCTCCCATTTCACAAAGGAGGAAACTGAGGCTCCAAGAGACTCAACAAGGTATCTAAAGCTGGCCTGCTAATAAAAGCTGAAATCAAGACTCGAGATTTATTCTGTAATTCAAGGATGCTTTTCAAAACTGATTGCCATTATAATGCCTATTAAAATCATATTCTAAAATGCCTACTAAAATCTATTCTAAAATGTTTGTAGCTGATAAAGAAGAGCATACAATGATCCTCCAGTGCATCCAGCACAGTGAGAAGTCCCCTGACTGTCACTTCCCGTGTCCTGTTCATCGTCCTCTCTGTGATCATCGTTCTCATGAGTCTTGCATCTAAGATCCCAATTGCGTGTGCTGTGTGTGCTGCTCTGAGCATGCCCGTGGATGTCTCCTGTCAAAACCGTGGTCATGTTTCTAGACTATTTATCCAGGATTGGGTGTCCTGGGTGATGCTATTTGAGCAGATATTAACTGAACTTAAGCAGATATTGCAAAATTGTCACCCAACTCTGTTACCAATGTGCTTTGCCCTGCACTGTACACAAGTTTTATCCCCTTGCCATTTGGGTCCATTTATCCTGTGGGTGTTTCATCCGCCCACTTTGTAGCTCTAGTGGCATTTTGATTGTCTCTAACTTGCGCTTAGATGGTTGTATTAATGAGGCTGAACTTCCTGTCATCTGTTCATTGGCCTTTTGTGACCTCTTTTGGAAAGGGTCATCTTGTGTCTTTATTCTGGAGAGATTTTTCTGTAGTATCACCTTTTCCTTATTGAGTATAGGATGTTTTATATGTACTGTCTTCTAGTCCTTTGCCAGAAGTAAATGTCCCTTCCAAGGTTTTTGGCTCGGGTGTTTTCACATACTGAATACAGCAGTTTTGTGACTTGATAACATTTCCCTTTGTTAATAACTGGATTATGTGGATGTAATAGCTTGCTTACTCACCAACCAAGGGACGTTTTGGTTGCTTTTTACTGCTCAGCAGTTACGAATAGTGCTGCTGTGGAACACACATGTGCAAGTTTCAGTGTGCACAGATGTTCTCAGTTCATTTGGCCGAATAGCAAGAGCATGATTGGCTGGTTGTAGGTTAAGGCTACAATTCGCTGTTTTCAAAAGCAGCCAGACGGTGTGCCAAAGCAGCCCTAGCAGTCTCTGCCAGAAGAGCGTCATTTTGTCTCACAGCACTGAGGATGCTGGGAATCAAACCAGTGTTTTCTGAAAGTGCTTTTACCTGCTTCTGCCTCCTGAACTTAATTATAATTTGAGAACTTCAGAGGGGAAGGAGTTTGTATCCTTGTTGCTTGGTTTTGTATCAGACTAGGATGAGGTCAGAAGAGGTAGCAGTGACCCTGTAAAAATGTATTTGAGGGCTTAAGTTCCAGATTCAAGTTTGCTACAATGTGTGTGTGTGTGTGTGTGTGTGTGTGTGTGGTTTGGGGGGGAGGATTATCTTGGACAACTTATTTGGATAATCTTGGCTTCTCTTTATCCACTTGTAAAACAAGCCCATTCTGCAACAGTCAATCTTATTCCCTAAGATTGACTGTTGCACCACGATGCTCCAAGCTCCATTAATGAAGTCATAAGGAGATATGCCTTCCCCATTTCCAGTCACTAAGAGAAGTAGGAAATGACTCCAGATGTCTGGACTTCCAGGCCTAGCTTCCAGCTCTTCTCACATGTGTGTCCCGGGGCTAGTGTGCAGGTCCCTTGGGAGGACACTGCATCCATGACAGTGAGGAGCTGCTGTTCCCCTGTGGATGGCCATGCTCACTCCACTAATGGGTCTCCAGAGTCCATCCTTGCCAGAAGGAGGACCCAGAAGGCAGTTCCTTCCTGCCTAGGCATTCTGGGCTTCTCATGCACAGCAAAGGGGCTTTCAGCATGGACTCTTAGCTGGAAGTGGCAGACAGAGAGTCTGCAGCTAGTCCCTCAGCTGGGCTGTAGGATCAAGTGCCTTCCCCTTTCCCAGCTCTTTGTCTAGCTTGGATGAGCCTAGTCATCCATTTAAATTGTGTTCTGTATCAATTCCCTAATGATTTTTCTTCTCGCTCATCATCGCCCTCCTTACATTAAGCGTTTGTTTTGGACTCTGGGTTTTCTGGCCTCAGGGAGTGGATTGTGGAGCTCCCAGGGAGGGAGCTGTGAGCAGACAGCAGACAACTTGAGCCTGATCTGCCTGCCAGAGAGAGAGAGAGAGAGAGAGAGAGAGAGAGAGAGAGAGAGAGAGAGGAAGAAGAGGAAGAGGAGAAGGAAGAAGAGGAGGAGGCAGCAGAGGAGGAGGAGCCAATTGAGGAAACAGAAATAGCCTGTGAGGAATGACTGAGGCAAGGCTGTTTGATGGCGTGCTTCTAAACAAGCTAGGTAGCCCAGGGGCAGGAGACCTGATGCCTGCCTAGAGCCTACATGTGTTCATCTTTGGACTTCACAGATGAGGCCGTCCAAGGCTCAGCCTGAGGTAATAAAACTAGGAGATGCATCTTGGGATCCTGTTAAGAGTAGCTCTAAATGGGGAAGAGGGCCACTGTTCTTCAGCTCTTAGAGGGAGGCATGGGACATAGGTGGCCCTTGTAAACTGCACAGAGAGTTTCATCTGAGGTGGGAGAGGGTGTGCATATTCACTTGGGACCTAGTGTGATAAATGTGACAGAATGTCGTTAGTGGGGGACACTGGAGTTGTACTTAGGGTTTCACCCTCCTGTGTGCCTTGTGTGGTCCTGGGGATTCCATTCTTCTATACCCCCTCCTTCATTCTGGCAAAGGTATCTCTCGGGAATGGACACTTCCCTGTTTGGGCTTTCCAGGAGTAGTTTCCTAACGTGGACCACTTCTTTTCTAGTCCCTCAGCCCCTTAAACTACATTCAGTAGAAATTCGTTTGTTGAGAACAAAGCAATGAGGGGCCTAGAGAGTGAGTGCACTGCCTGCCTGTGAGGAGAATTTCGTTTTCCATTGTGGATGTGTGAAAACACAGCCTCTTCCTCTTGTTCCCTTGGGGGACGCAATGGTGGAATGAGGTGTGAGGAGACATTGCGCCTCTTGAGGAGGTTGCTGGAAAAAAATGGTCTTCAAGGCCATCATCTGGTACAACACAACACTTTCTGAGACTCCCCTTCTCTGAGGGCGCACACGCATACGTGTGTGTATGTGTGTGTGTGTGATAATCTATGTATTTATACCTGTACAGAAGTATTTCTGTGTAATTGTCTGCACATATGTTAAGTTAAACATGAATTTTTCTGTATCCAGTCCTAGTCAACTATAACGTGATGGTGGTACTGATGGAGCCTCATGGATTTGTAAGTTTCCATCCCAATGGGAAGAAACCTGCCATCTTTCCAGTCACTGCTTTCAGCCACAGTGCATGTTTGGTAGAATCTGACCTTATCTCTCTGAAGTTTTTCTTTTTATTGTAAAATAATTTATTATATAAAAATTTATATTTATTCAAGAAAATTAGAAGTGTAGACATGTAGAATTGTTTTTAAAACTCCACAATTCCATGACTGATGGATAAGCACTTGCAAACTTTATTAGTGTCTATTATTTTTTAAAAAATGTAGTAAGTAATATGATATACTTTGCATATTGATATATATGGTGCAGTTTCATACATCATTCTCATTCATGATAAACATCAGTAACTCATTTTTTTCCCAGAAGTACAGGATTGCATAGTCTAAAAAAATATATAAATTGTCTCAAATTGCAAAAATAAAAACGCCAAGAAGAGGCTAGCACTCTGGAAGAGAGAGGATTCAAAAGTCTTCTTTGGAACTTTCTAGTGGTTTCCCCCACCTCCCACTCCCACTGGCTATCCCCCACTGCTACATATTTCTATTCATTTTTCTGACCCTCTGGACTTCTCTCCTGTCTCTTCCCATACCTGATCCTGCCCCCCTTTTCCCCTCCCCGTCTCCTTCCTAGATACCTTTCTCCCTCTACCTCCTGTGATTATTTGTTCTTCCTTCTAAGTAGAATTGAAGCATCCGCCCCCTCAAACATACTTAATAGGATCCATTGAGATTTAAAACTAATTTGTAGTATTTCTTTATAGTTAGGCTGTCCTGGAGCTCACAGCACTCCTGTCTTAGTTATCCAAGTGTTAGAAGTACAAGAAGATATATCCCCGTTTTCCTTTACATGATTTTCTTTCTTTTCTTTTTTCTTTTTTAAGTGTGGCAATCATAGGATAAGTCAGTCCATGATTGATACTTCTGGAAAGAGCGTTTGTTTGGGTGGCAATTAATTCATGCATTCATTGAGTACTTCGTTCATTCATTCATTGAGTATTTCATTTATACATTCATTGAGTACTTCTCTTAGCTTCTCTTGACTTGTAACTTTAAAGTTAGGATAATTGGATTCAAGTGTACTTTATCGTAATGGGAAAAGATGTTCAGGTGGCTTGGGACGAAAGCAGCCAAGTTCTAATTCAATTCTCTTCCACCTGACCCAGGTTGAGAGTAAGCCCTTGGTTCAATTCCAGAAGCCATCCTCCAAGACCAAGAAGCTGAGAGTGAACCAATGTTCACAAAAGGTAGGGGGGTCATGGCCAGTATCTTTTCTCTAAGAAAGGGTGAAGGTTATGGGATGATTGGGATAGTTTAGCAGGCCATTTTGTTTAACAATGACCACACTATAATTATGGCTGTGTTTTGATAGATGAACTCTCTCCCAATCAATGCATAAACCAATCAATGCAAGATAATAGGGGTCAAATTATAATGTATCCATAGAGAAGATTGGGGTTTGTGTTACATATATATGTGCAGGAATGTGGAGGAACTTCTCCACATTTTCAGAGCATTGTATGAAAGTCAGACAAATGCTTACTTTGGAAGACACATTGAAGCATACTATTTCTTAACTGGGGGAGAAAATATCCTGGCAGGAGATGGGGTTTTTGGGTCTCCAGTATTGAGATGCTAATACTGGCTAGCACTTTTGGAATACTTTACATATATTTCCTCATAAAACTCTTAATGAGGTAGCTCCCACCCTATTTTGTCACCATGGTAGCAGTGAAATAAATGAAGCTTAGAAAGTCAATGGGACCTATTGGAGGTTTACAGTTCATTAGTAATAGAGGTAGGATTCAAACCCATAGCCTACCTGATAGACTGATGACTTGGCTCTCTGGATTCTGGTTTTCCTCATGAACCTAGGTTAGGTGCCACATTGTTGTGGAGTTAAGGACAGAGAAGATAACCAGAACATATTTCTTTTCCTGGGATGTCTGTACCCTGTTCACTTTCCCCTTCTGTAGATTCCAAGTGCCGGCAACACTGCATTCCCTTTTGTGGACTCAAAGGGGAAGAGGAACACAGTAAACTTCCCCCACATTGGCAACAAAGTCCTATCAAAGGGGCCCATGGTGTATCAGGTGAGTGAGACAACAGGCATGTCCTTGGACAAGCACATTCAAGGCCTGAGCTCAATGTAGTACCAGCTGTAGGGAGGTTGGGTTCTAGCTCTCTTTTCAGTCCTTACAAAGAGTGAACACTTGAACAAATGTGCCTTGGCTTTCTTTTACCTATTAAACGGGTTCTTTATGGCATCATGAGCATTCATCAAGGAAAGGAAAAAATGAAGTCCATACTGTATAAATGGTAGAGCCATTTGAAAGATTTTCTTCCAATATTCCCTATTAAAAAATATTGTAATTATGTGTAATGTGTGTGGGCATGCACATATGAGTTGTAGGTATTCACAGACTATGGAAGGGCATGTCAGATCCCCTGTAGCTGGGGCCCAGGCAGTTGTGAAGCACCTAATGTGGGTGCTGGGAGAGAGCAAGAGCAGCCTGCACTTCGAGCCCCTTCTCCAGCTCCTGCACTACCTTCCCTGTGGAAAGACCAAATGAGATACTGAGCTAGTACCAACATGAACAGATGCTAGTCTCACATCAGTTGAAGCTTCTGGGATCTAGTAAGTTACTTAGCTTATTTGGAATTGGCCTGTATTTGTTATTTTTCTCATTGTTGCAACCAAATTTGTGAAAGGAAGCCACTTGTAGGAGGAGGGTTTGTGTTGGACTCACAGTTTATCGCAATGAAGTCCCTCACGGTAGGGAAGGCCATGGCAGAAGAAGCATGAGGCAGCTGTTCACAATATGTCTTTGGGCAAGAGGAAGAGAGACAAATGCTGCTGGTCAGATCAGTTTCTCTTTCTGTTCAGTTCGGGACAATGCCGAATCCACCGTTAATGGTGCTTCCAACATTCAAGGTGGTTTTTCATTCTTCAGTTCTGGGAACCTCTCATAGACAAATCAAGAAATGTGTTTCCATGGTTACTGTAAACCCAGTCAAGCTGACAATGAAAAAGAACCACCTCATGGCCTCCTCAAGAGCAACAGTAAAAACTGTCACATCTCTATGTACAATGACATGCCACTGGGTTGTTAACTACACACAATGTAGTGGGCCTTCCAGAACATAATATGAGGGTCAGATACTCTCTCTAAGAGAAGGAAGGGGTAAGCATCTTACCATCTCTCAAGTCATAACTATTTCCTCCCAGGAGTGGTAGGAAAAGATTCTGGCTCGAGGTAGGTCTACTGGATCATCTCAATGACCTATGACCCCCAAGAGAATCAATCCTTAATTATAACTTATTTCCCTGGACAGGAAAATCAAATTCATAATCAAGTGCTATCCTCTGAACTCAAGACTTCAGAAATACCTTTCAGCTTTAACACAAAAGCCCAAGACACCAAGCCTCATCCAGAACTACAGAAGAGGCACAAAGTCCCTCTTACAGCAGCAGGTAAGATTTGGGAGCAGTAGCAAGATAGAGTGGCAGGGGGAGCATAGTTATTGACAGCCAAACTGCTGAGAGCTGAGCTTCCGTGTGCTGGAGTCATCAATTAAGGCAAAGAACCAAAACGAGCAAAGTGAATCCCGAAATCTCTCACTGGTCTGGCTAAGCACTAGGCTAAGAGAGAGTGAGCGCCAGTTCTCTGTGGCCCATTGTTTCCGTGGAACTGCATGGGTCAAGGTCACCTGCATCAGTGGAAACAGAGGGCACTGTCTCACTATGTTGTATGGACTGGAGCAAGGGTCAAGGGGAGAGTTAGAATTAAGGGTGAAATCACTGAACTGACACAGTCAGGTGTTTTGATGCTTCCTCCTCCTCAGTCAGGGCCAGGTAGAGGACTCCAGATGATGTTGGGGAAGGAGGCCTCCTGGGTCCAACATGGAGGTACATAAGAATGCTGCCTGACAGGAAGGCTTGATCCTGTCACTCTAGAAGGAGACTGCCATGTGTGTGAAGTGCTCTGAGTCAGGAGGGGAAGCTGCCCCATGATGCCTGCCAGCTATAGCTTCTGTAGTTGTGCCTGCTGGAGCCAGAAAGACCAGAAGCCAGACTCCTCCCGAGGGTGCAGAGACTTGTGGCTTCCTTCCCTCTTAAGACTCAAAGCAAGGGAACATCTGAAGCCTTGGTTCTGCCTCTGGGTGGAGAACATCTTGATTCAGCCTGTAGGTGACTGACTTGTGTTACATATAGGAAGACAGAGGTTGTCATGTGCCTCATTTCTGCCCTCCCAATACTTCCTTCTGTAAGTCTTCAGCAAACAGTTTGCAAAACAACTGGGTGCCCCTCCCCAGCCCTCTTTCCTGAGAAACTCCCGTATATTAAAGTTTGACATCACTGGTGCTGGAGAGACTGCTCTGAGATTAAGTACCTGGCTGATCTTCCAGGTTTTATTCCCAGAACGCACTGACGTGGTAGTTTACAACCACCTTTTAATCCAGTTCCAGGGGATCTGATGCCCTCTTCCAACCTCTCCAGGCCCCAGACACACATGTGGTACACAGACATATGTGCAAGCAAAATACACATAACATTTTAAAAAAATTATTAAAATTGACTATCATCCATCCATAATATCCCTTCCCCAACAGTCAGTCTCTCTCTCTCTCTCTCTCTCTCTCTCTCTCTCTCTCTCTCTCTCTCTCTCTCTCTCTC